AACAATTGTAAAATTTATTTGAATCAAAATTTAATGAGAATACCAACCTTTCTTAGGAGGGAATAAAATTATGGGCGTCAAAATGAGTTAACAGGTTCGGTTTTGCTCTGGATTAATTAAGTTAATCCAAAACCAACCCATTTAATTAATAAACTCTTGAAAATGATGGAATTGAAGTTGACATGTTGGTAACCCAAATGATCTGAACAAGACTTGATAATCCATTTTAATTTAAAAAAATTACAACTTATCAACTATATAGTCGGATAAATTGATCAAAAAATAATAAGATTATACTAATAAACAAAAGAATTAAAAAAAATAAAACATGTCATTTTCAGATAAAAAAAAGTTTCTTATTAATCCGAATCCGACCCATTTATTAAATGAACTAGTCAAGTCAAACTTAAATTTTTGTCTTTAGAGCGGATCATTTTCTACCTCCGTAGAAACCATGACCTTAGTATATATAACAGCATAATATGAATCATTGGTCAATAGATTGAACAACAAAATGTTTTATCTTCTTGTTGCGTCCTGGAATATATATTCGCGACGGAAGAGAAATATAAGTTTAACATCTTAGCTTCGTACAAAAATATAACACGCAATCATATAAGAGATATGGTATAACATTCATAAGAGACCAAGATTTTTACATGAAAAATCTTCAAAAGAGGAAAAACCACATGGCCTAACCCAATTTGAATGAATCCACTAGTATTTGTAGTTTATTACAAATGAGGCCCTTCATAATTGGAGGGAAGGCTTTGGCTTGATGTAACAAATATACATCATATAGAGTGTGTTACATGGTAGAAATATGAAGCATCACTATTAACGTGTTCATTTGGTCGGAAGGACCATAATCAACAGTGGTTGAGACGAACTCCAGCGTTGATTAACAAAGAGGTGAAAGAACTTTGGCAGTGGTTGATGAATGGGAGGAAGTCCAATAGTGGTCGACAAACATGCGAAATAACTTTGACAGTGGTCGACGAACGGGAGAAAGTCCGATGGTGGCTGAAGAACAAGAGAAAGAACTTCGATGATGGCTGACAAATGGGCGGAAGTCCAGTGGTGGTCGACAAAACATGCAAAAGATCTTCAACGCTAGTCGACGAACGGGTGGATGTCTGACAGTGGTTGACAAAAGAGTGGAGATTCAACGTTGGTTAGGAAGAACTCCGGCGGTAGTCTATGAATGGGCTGACAAACTTTGGTTGTGGTCAACGAACGAGTGGAGGTCCGTCAGTGGTTGATGAACAAGCGAATGTTCGATGGATATCGGGAAGGACTCCAGCGGTGGTCGACGAAAAGGTAAAAATTTGATAGTGCTCAAAGAACGAGAGGAAGTCCGGTGGTGTTTGGGAAGAGATTTGGCGGTGGTCGACAAAGAGGCAAAAAGTCAGTGGTGGTTGATAAAAACTTCGATGTTTGTCGACAAAATGGATGAAAATTTGGCAGTAGTCGAAGAACAGGCGAAAGTGTGGCGGTGGTGGAGAAGAACTCAGGTGGTAATCAACGAACGGGGCAAAAGTCCAATGGTGGTCAACGAATGGGCCGAAGTCCGGGGTTGGTCGACGAACAAGCGGTAGCCCGGCGGTGGTCGAGGAGAACCCTTGCATGATGGTCTGTTGCAAGTCAGGTCTCAAATTCTTCTCTTCTCTTCCTCCTCTCTTATGTCCCCCTTCATGTAAAGAAATGGGGCCCAATTTGTAACTTTTTTAGAATGGCATGGTTGGTAAATAGGGGGAGGATCAATGTCAAGAAGAGAGTGGTTCGAATGGACGACAGATGTTGATCTCATTGATCATGGATTGTTTACTGGTCATTTATTGAATGTTTTAATGATATCAAAATTTGGTGATCTTCAGCTTGTTGGATTTGTCTCGTCGAACCACTCGAATCAACTATAAGCATGTCATGTTTACAATACGTTTGGTAATTCAAATTATGCTTTGAAACCTCTAAATACACTTTGGACCCTTGATTTGGGCTCATTTGAGCTCGAATTTGTTTGATTTTGGTGTCGTTTGGTTCATCTTTTCAAGGCGTTCAGTTCGACTATAAGTTTGCTAAAAGCAGAGTTTGGATGGTCCTAGAATAATTTTGGAAACTTTCAACTTAATGTTGCCTTGAGATTCGTTTATCAAGATAAGTTTTTTATGATATATCAAAGCTAGTCAACTTTAATTTGGATTTCCGTCTCAAGTTTAGATCTGATCATTTTTTTACCCCTATAAAAACCATGAGCTAGTATATATAAGATCATAATATGAATCATTGGTCAATAGAACAACAAAATGTTTTATCTTCCTAAAATTCACAACCAGCCTAGAAAGACTAAAATTATACATAATGCTACATTTAATAAAAACTAGTATAAATGCACGTGCACATGGTGCACGTTAATAAAATTTTAAAAATAAAAAATATATATTAAAAAAAAGAACATGTGAATAACAACACTCAGTAGTAGAAGACGAGCTACAAAAATTTTTTTTCTTTATTATGAGAAAAAATATATAGTAAAAAATGCAAATACAAATAAATAATAAGAAATAATATGCTAACATTATATAAATATATTAAAACCAAAAAAATAGAAACCATAATGTTAGGTAATAGACAAAAAAAAAAAGTTTAAGATAGTCAGAATAAATATTAACAATTATGATTATTTTTCTGTGAATAAAAAATAGTGATTTTATAGAAAAAAATACTATAATAAAATCCAAAAAATAAATTATAGAATATTGTTATAATTTATTGACACATTAAAAAAAAACACATTAATTATAAGAAAAAAATAAAAAATAAACCCTCATCTTTTTCATCGGTCTTTGGAAATGCATTTGCAGTTTTTTTTTTTTTTGTATAATATTATCTCTAGATTTGAATCATTTAACAATAATAGAAAATCCATTTCCATATCATATAAAAGTTGAATCACAACTCAACATACACTAATAAAGCTCTTCATTTCAAACATAAAAGCCTGAGAGCAGTAGGCAGCCAATAAGACTTGTTATATTACTTTTTTAAAAAAAATAAAAATAAGAAAATTTGAAAATAAGATTTGAACCATTTAACAATAATGAAACATTCATATCATATAAAAAGGCTCAATCAATCATTAAATTCAACATAAAGAAAATTCAAAGTCTAATGACTAATCATATTTGATTGTTGTATAACTATATATGAAAAATTTTCTATCAATAGAGTCAATAGATCTTCCCCCACAAAAAATTCAGAAAAATTTTTGTAAAAATGTTTACTGTGCACGTGCACATAATTGTGCACTAGCTACTAAACTTGAGAACGATTAACCATTTGACACTATACAGAAAGGAAAATGTCATGATTGTCATTATTCAATCAAACAAGGCTAACATAACTTGTTTGATTAAGTCAAATCATTCTGATTGTGCTAAATTGAATGTTTTAAGGGTCATATGCATTCAAAGTTATAAGATTTTGATGTGTCACCCTCCGCGGCTTAGCTCAGGTGGGGGGAGCTCGGCTGGGCAAAGCTTAGGTCCCGGGCTCGAATCTCTTGGACGGCTGTGACTAGGGGTGTCAATCTCGGGTCACGGGTCGGGTTCGGGTCGAACCCGAACT